AAAAACATAGCTCACACATCGTCGCCGTGTCATCTGACAGTTGACGCGAAAGATCGGATTCGGTAGGTAATCGCAGGATGCTAGACGTTTCTGACCGTTGTATTTTCTGAATTCACGTTAATACGCCGTGATGAAAAGAGGTGCCGACATCACAAGGCAGAGAATGCGTGTCCGGTGGATTTTTATGCATCAATGATGCATGAGCAGCGCACATATCGAGATGAACGCTGCGATGAATGGACTTTCGAGCTATTCGATTCGTTTGGATTGGAATAGTTATACGCAGCGAATGCATACATAGCCACGCGTGCGCAACGTTAATTCCGTATGTAAAATGGCTCTCTCCCCGGCTGGAATTTCGAAAATGCACGCGAAGCGAGCGCACAAACCCCTCGATTCGTTCGCGATTCCTGAAAATCATTTGATCATCGACAACTTTCTGCTACCCCCCCCCCCCCCACCACCACCGCCACTTCGCCCGTTGGTTCTCTCTTGTCCTCTCGTTTACGCGATCCCTCACAACTGAATGTCCAATGAACACGCAAAATTGGATGTTCGTTCCGATATTCTTTAACCCAATTATCCGTTCGCACAGGACATACGCATAAAAAACGATATGCGATAAAAAAAAAAATCAAATCTTTTACTAATAAGTATTTATAAATAAAATCTGTTTTTGCAAATTACATTTTTTTGCTGAATATTGTATCATGTTTAATCTGCGAGACAGAGATATTTAATACATATTAATTATTATGCTTGAAATTTTATATCTAATTTCTTAAAAAAAAAAAAAAAACTTTAAGAGAGAGAACATAGTATACAAAATATAATATATATATATTGTTTGAGTATTTTTGATTTTATGTTAGTAAATCATTTACCGGATCTTTTTTCACGATTCACTGTATTATTATTTAACAATAACTATCTTATTATAGCTACCTAAGTTTACCGATACGTTGAAATTAATTTCAGCAACTGACGTGGACAAAAACATTATAAATAAAGAATCAATCAATTGCAGTCGAAAAAAGTTATCATCACATCACCTACGATCGATCTCATTTTCCTCGTAAGTTACGAGGGGGCGCACGCCCTATCTTTCCCCGTCGGAGATGACCGTGATGGACATCTTTCGAGGCCGCGTTCCCTTCAGCGCCCCGCTGAGCTTGAAAGGTTTCTCATCTTATCAGGAAAATTAACCCTAAAGCTTCCGAGGATGGCAAATAAAGCGCAAGGATTTACGTAAATTAAAATGTACACGGTGTACCGTTGAAATTAATTTTCAATGAAAGCTTTTGCAAATTTAAATCCCATTTTTCGTAAAGCCGGGACGATTTTTATCCCGGAGGATCGTAGGAAATTACGCACGGGGGACGCGAGTGGATTCGGCCGATCTGACGATCGCGATTACGCGAAAAAGCACGAGGCGAACGAAGCTTTACTCAGGATTTCGAGGAACTTTTCTGTATCGATCGTGCGCCCTTACCGGAGAACCGTAGCCTTCTGCGTATCTTCAACTCCCCGCGAACTCGATTGTAAATTTTCCACCTCGAATACTCAAACTCGAGGTGGCGGTGGACCACCAGATGCACTCATCGCGAGTGACCGGAGTGTGCGCGTGTGCGCCGGAACTCGCGCAGAAATTTATAATACACACGTCGCGTGTGCCGAAAGTCAGCTAATCCAAAATACCTCTCGCGGCTTCATCCCGAGCCCCATTCGACAGTCGACGAATTCCGACTTAACGGAAGGCTAGAAAAGAATTTCTCCTCATCGACATCGAATCTATTTTCGTGCTCGGGATGAACTAGCGCACAAACGCGATACTCTGTCACATTATATAATTACGCTATAGTCGCCGCACAGTCCGTTACTACGTTCTTTTGATGACTATGGTCTCAAGAGAGGGTAATGTCGTTTTACTAATAGCGCTCTTGCAATATCGTAAGGTGAAGTTAGATTGCACTAGCGGGGATAATTTCACTCTTAATGAACGAAGATTGTAGTACAGTGTAATTTATTAGTTTTGGTGTATTTATTCTTTTCTTTTTTTTTTATGGAAGCAGAGAAACTGGTGCAATCGCCATGTATCCATTGTCAGGAAAAGAGGGACCATTTTCCCGTGCCGAATTGGTCTTTGTGTCGAAATTATATCGGTTCCTACGAGCTTCAATTCTTACTTGATAAGAAATGCGAGTAAGTGGAGGAAATAGCATAGATCATCACGATTAACCGGCGGCATCAAAAATTCGTCCCGGCTAAAAACGCGGGCGATTTTAGCCGGCGTTGCTCTTGCTCTTCGAGCGGGGTTCGGATTTGGGTTTTGCCGCAGGGGTAGGTGCGCAGAGTGAACACGGATCGATCCCCCTCGGCGCGAGTGCGAATGGGGGGTTGCGACCGAGTCGCCCTCTCCGTTGCTCGGTATCCTGGCGTTCATCCCCGAAAACGGGAACGTTTAAAGGGTGCCACATTGCCCAAACGAAACCACCGAAATTCGAATAGGATCGGTGAAAACGCGGTACCACGAGCATCGATATCGCGACATCATGGTCGACTAAAATAAACCGATTTACAACAATTTTTTTTGAAAAGGGGCAAAAGAACAAATAAAAAAACTTGAGACGTGAATTAGAAAAATTAGCGGGCGCATTTTCCGTTAAGAAAAGACCACGAATCGCCATCGGTGCGATACGCCGCGATTCTCATTATCGGACGCGTTTTATCAGACTTCGTACCGTCGTTATAACTCGAATGTAGGTTAGCGGCGGCGGCGGATCCAAGAGAAGGGATGCCGAGTTTTCTTCGAAAAATCAATAGACATTTCTGCCCCTGGGTTTCACCTTGTCGCGCTAATAACGCTTGCCGTTAACTCGCTTTTGAAGATTCGTATCGCGGGTATTTGTATCGAAGGACCTAATAAGTTTTTAAACTCATGGAGGAACATCTAATTATTACCATTTACTTATGAATTTAACCGTCGCAAAAAAATAAAATGTTTATTTCGACACAACGCGTCTATGCGAATATTTCAAATAGTGTATTCTAAAACTTCTCTAGACACAAAATAATATATATTTCTGAAAGCAGTACCCAATTTCCCCGTTTGAAGTTCAATGAAGAATAAAATTTGTTTAAAAATTCGCTGGCGAATTTTTACTATAAAAATCATCGATTTACGTAAAGAGTTAGTTCTAAATTGGTCAAGAAGAATTTGCGAAAGAAGCTCGCGGGTGGAGTTCGTAAACATCCCGCGTGGTAGTTCGGGATTAACCGCAGGGTGCGTACATCTCGCGTGCGTACAACTCGCTTCGCGATAGATTTCCGGTTTAATCGCGGCGTCGCACAATAATAGTGTCGCTTATACGAATAAATTCGTTCAGCCTTACGTACATACGCGATAATTCGCGGATGGGCCCTCGTCGATCATTGGTCGATCGTTGGTCGCGAATCGAAGTTGGGACGAGGTCGAGCGTGAAGAGATCCCGTTTACCTTCGCAAGTACGTTTCCACCTGGCTCGTACATACCTGAAGAACCTGTACAGTCACGCTCGCACGGTTTCTGGTGATCGCCGCTGTACCACCGATTACCTTAATATCCGTGCGTACACGCGGGACGCACTTATTATTGGTACGCGCGTAATGTGTCGCGACTAGTATACCCGAATGCTAGTATTATTCATCTATCCGCAACATTTCTCCTGGCATTCGTGACTCGTCCAATTTCATCAACAACGAGTAAACCCGACAAATTATTCGTACTACGACGGATCTATAATGGAAACTAATGAAACTTAATCTTCGGGCTCGCAACTAATTGCGAGGGCCTCCGCAGACTAATTTTTGTCGAAATATCTATCGGTTTTTTGAAGCTGTGTATTGCGAATATATATGTAAAAATATATATATATATGTTTTTAATTTTTATAAGTGCGTTACCGTTAGCTACTTATGCTAGAAATATTCGCAAATATTTTCAGTTACGAAAAATCATTATTATTGATCGTTATTTGTTAAATATCACTTATGTGATTCTTTTTTTATATAATTAATAATCTATTCATTTTTATGTTTACCTCGATAGATTTTTAAGAAATTAAGGATTAATAGACAAATGTTGCCAATTATATAAAAAAAAATATAAAATAATTTTTTTATACTTCTATCTTCATATTTTACATTAAACGGTTGCTGCTTTCACATTTTTACCGCAGTTTTAAATATTGTGGTTGATATTCCATTTGCTTTATATTTTCATGATTACTGTATAGAATGACGTCGAAACAAATAAATAATTTATTAGATTTTCTGACTAATTAAAAATTCCTCCGCAAATATCGAGGGGTTATTGCCATAAAGTCATCATTTTTATATTAAATATTATTTACGTAATACGTATATACGTAATTTTAAATTAAAAATTTGTTGAAGATGTTCTTGAATCTAAATAACAATTTTATTTTGCATATTAAAAGCTTATTTTTAAAAATATTCTTTATTTACAGTTGTTTACTTAAAAACTCTCTTCCTTTATTGGAAAACATTGGAACATATTATAATAAAGAAAATTTCAGATTAATCAGAGAATTCTTATATAAAAGACGATTTACAATTTATAGATACATCATTTGAAAGGGTGAAACGTCAGTCACTCCTACTTCGGTCTCGAAAAACGAATTGAAATTGCAAAGGTAGAACTCGAAATACAAAATTAATCTACCTAATACAGAGAAATGCCGCTTTGTTATAGTAATTTCTGCGAGTCTGCAATGCAATCCTGCTTGAGAAAGGACCGAAAGGACCTCCTCTCCGGACAATCTCTACTACCCGCTTTCTACGATGCTGCGCGAGATGACGGAGGTCCTATTTCCGGCCGATATTTAAATCCGAGGGGGACCGAATCTGCTCGACCTTAACCGAAGCGCTCGGGTCCGGCTGTCACATTCGTGGCGTACCGAATGCCCGTCTCTCGTGGCGACGGCGGCGGCGGCGACGGCGGCAACGGCGGCGGCGGCGGCGACGGCGGCGGCGGCGGCGGCGTAACGCGTTAATGAAAATGGCAACGCGCTGCGACGCCATGCGGCAACCTCGACAGGGTACGTTCTGCCGCAAATTGCGCTGCTTTATCAATCTGAAATAACACCGGCGCGGAACAATTAGCGAGGACGCCGAGACTTACGGGAGCTTCGCCGACCAGCGGAAGGATCACGTTGCGGTATGGCTGACATGTACGTCCGATTCTATAAACGTTACGACAGATCGCATGTTGCGCGCGATGATGTTACAGTAGTTTTGGCACGTTTTTATTATAGATAGACGGATGTAATCTCCGGGTGATGCCGTGCTCGAGAGAGTTTGCAAGAGATTTGCAATGCCCTGTGATGAGCAACGTAAGTATTAGTATTTGTATAGCTTTTTATCTCTATTGCTTTGTCAAAGTAATTGGTTAATATTACATTATATTAACATTATTTTACATATTTTAATAGTCTAGTATACGTGTTGTCTGACTATGTGAACATCTTTAGTCTTGTAATGTTAAATTTGAAAAGTATAGAAAAGATTATTTTATAAATCGTGCATCAAAAGTATCATTTTCTTGATTAATCATATTTTATAATATAATATATTGTCTTTACAATATAAAAATTATGATTTATTTAGCACAAAGCATAATAAGATATCTAATAAAGATATATCTAATAGATATATACACCTTTAAAAAATAAAGATAGTAATACTTGTTATATACATGAATTGTATTTTTATCATAATTTACATTAGTTAGAAATAACTTCTCTAGTTTTCCTAGTTACAAATGAGTATGCTTTATAAATGAGTATGCTTTAGAAATTTTTGATGAATTGTCAGCAATCAAGTAAGCAAATGTCTTTGTATCAGAGAAACATAATGTTGTTTATAAGTTTCTCTTCTAAAAAATATCTCTGATACTATTTTTCTAATCTTTTTATATAAGAAAATGTATAAAGCTTTCATTATTATTATCCTTACAGATATTTTCAGTTCGCAAGCAAAGGATAGCGAAAGCATTAATTCGCAAAGCAAATGACATAGCATACGCAGCAACTTAGAAATACACAGGAAAACTTCAAGATAGTCCAATAAGAAGTAAACTATCTCTGGAAAAGAATGGTGCATTTATTTTATTAAGTCTACTGCAAAAACTGTATTAATAAAAGAATACTGTGAAAAAGAAAGGCATTTTAGAGGATAATTAATATTTTGTTTATGCTACATCCATTCTGTCAATCTAAATATAGCGTATATTCTATTATATATCAAGTTCAATTATTTATTACATTTTTTATAAGATAAGATATTTTGATTAAAAGACAATGGACAATTTTTGCTTTTTTAAAAAATTCGTTCTATGTCAATTACTTTGTCTGAGTAGTTTAAAATAATCTCTCATATATACTTGCACAATATAGTACAAGTATACAAAAATAGAATAGATCTAGTTACTTTGTATTTTAATATTTCGTTAGATTACGTTTTACTCGTTATCTTGTGTAGTACTTATATGTATTCTTATTATGTTTATAATTATGACATTCCATTTCTTAATCTATCACACGCATATAACAATAAATAAATAATAGCATGCAATATATGCTACATTTATCTGATAGTAAAGCTCCTGCTTATCCCATTGTGATTAAGTTATAAGTCTATACTTAGCGATATCAATGTCGAAACTAAATGCTAAATCTAGATCTAAAGTTTGTGAAATTTATATTAAGGCTCCCGACCCTTTACTGCGGCCATATTGGATTATGACCTTTTATGATAGTTAATCAAGGTCTAGTCATCTATTAATTCACGTTCCATAAATCTATTCTATCGTACGTAAGTTGTGACACGTGAAAAAACTAATTTATTTGATGCACGATGCAAGAGAGATATCTATATGGTTAGTCTGTTTCTCTGACGTCACAAGTCATTATGACCGCAGTGAGGCATCAAGAGCCTTAAATGTAATTTTCTTCATCTTAAATTAAAAAAGGAATGAATATTACAGATTTTATACCGAGCGAAACTCGATTTCAACTTTATTTGTTGCATACTCATAAATTAATGATAAAATCGATGTTGCCCATTAGTGCTCTTCGCGTTCTGACGTATCCCAGGGTCACCGCGACTTTAAAGTCGGCCCTGTTTCTAGGTTCATAGATTTGACCGAACTCTCGCCGGATATCTATTTGTCCCGTTATTCGCTTTTAATTTAACCTCACAAATGATATTTTAGTATCGGTTTCTCTATTTCACGCCGCCAGGATCGCAAATAATTATCCGGCCGAACGTTGCGATTAATATTACAGCTTTTTATTATTACGGCGCTGCGGTCGCCGCGGATGTAACGCCAGTCAGCGCGTCGAACAAAGTCGGGAATTTATCGCGTACGGCTCTCTCGGTTAATATACATAACGTCGGCTAATATTCGTCGCGCGTTTGTATTTTTGTATAAATTTTACATCCGACGGCGGCCGACGGCGACCGAAAATATCCGAGATTTTTAGTCTGTTGCATCCATCGCACGTCGAATGCGCTCTCCTCCCTTCTCGCCCTGTCTCCCCCTGTCCCTCTTTCATTCCCGTAGCTACATTCTGCCTCTCCGTTGGCTCGCCCGTTGGTACCTCTCTGTCCCACCCCCGTTCTCGCCCTATCGCATCATCTTCCTCTCCACCTCGTCGCAACTTCGAGCGACGTCGGGCGCGCTCGTGCGACGTCGGCCCTGACTTTTGTTGCGCGCTTTGTAGAACGTATAAACGGATGAGGCTTTTTCCGGGACCGGCAACGCGTGCTACCTTGTGCCTCTCGCGCAGGACGCGCGAACGGGGAGCAGAGCCGACCGAACGAGAGTGTGCTCTCGAGTACCCTCTGGTCCGCTAATGATTCGCGTTCTCCATCGCCCCATCGTGGCGAGCGATCGATCCCGATCTGAATAATTTTCAACGAGACGCATACGTTTCTCTGTCGAATTAATTCGACGGTAGTAACATTGATAGACGGAGAGGCGTGCGCGATTTCGCATGAGCGGCGTGAGAGCCAGTCGTGCCGTAAATTTTCTGTTATAATGTCGAAAGACGTATAATCGAGTCCTCCAGGATCCTGGCGGCGCGTCATTCACTCTCGGACCAAGCCGGGTATAGCCCGTCACCGTGGCTGCATCACGGTTATACCCGTAGACTCTCTCGGCGTTCTCGGTCCCCGATGTTAGCGCGATCGATACGACGACCATCCCCCGTCGTCAGCCCGGCCGATTTTTTTTCCGTTCGACCCTTGCGCTTGCGCGCGCGTTGCCACGGTCTCCCCTTTCCGATTCCGAGCGTGCGGCA